GGATCGTTTGGTGGAATTATATAGTTGTTCATAATATGAAAAAGTGCTCACATATTCTTGGTTGGCTCCTTGAACTTCACTGTCGATGTCCCAGTGCAGACTGTCGATAGCTGACCATCGCGACTGAAAAGAGCGGAGGAGATCTTCCAGCTCCCATTTCTCCGTCACATCGTCAAGATTTATGTTAGAAACTGTCCTTTTAAATGTTCTGAAGTTGCTTGATTGCTTCTTGAATAATTCATCTGTCTTGCTGTTGGTTCCCTGGGACTCCGTTCTAAATGAATGTTGAGCTCCCGGAGTTTAGGGTGTACCCATTGTAGTTGCGGGTCTTATCAAGGGCGTTGAAGGTTTTGGTTGATGTTCCGACTTCGGTAAGTACGCTTTTATTGTAGCTGTTACATTCTCATAATTTGCCTTGGTTTTTTCATACGTATTGTTAGTAAAATAAGCATGGGACTTGTCTGAAAAAGCGCACAGTTCAACATGATTATTCAGGAATTCCTGCCAATACCCTTCTAAATTATTCAATCTTCGATTAATATAGTTGGGCGTCTTTCGCTCTTGACTATCTTTCTTGAAATTTACAAATATTTGATTAATGCCATCGATAATTTGTTGTTGATTTGCTAGGAGATTTTCCATGCTTGACATTACTTGGTGAAGGAGTTGATACGTTAAAACCCTGGTAAAAAATCACTTACTTGTTTTACTTGTTTTTGAAAATACCTTGATACGCTTGCTTGATATGCTTGGGCTTTGCTTGTGAAATCCTTCTGCTTGATGTGCTTGATGAATGCTTATGCTTGGTGTGCTTGGAGAATGCTTGCTTGGTTTGCTTGGTGAATGCTTGCTTGGTTTGCTTGATGAATGCTTCAAATTTGCTATGCTTGTGTTATTCTTGATATACTCGGTTTTATGCTTGGTGTTATTACTGGTTCTCAGTATATTTGCAGACTCAGTACACGTAGAGCGCCGTCTCAATTCGGTTGGTGAGACCCGCTGGTGGGAGGCGAACCGAACCGATCGCATTGCACTTGAGATCCACAAAACACTGACCAGTTTCCTCGAAGGACCATAAAGATGTTTGGTCTTGGTATACCACACCCCTTTTACTTGAACTGATGATGAATGATTTAAACACGATCTTGAGAAAAACAATGATTTATTGCGATTTCACAATACACGAAACTTGGTAAAAATATAAGATTGAGTCACGCGACCGTATTGGTAGGCAAACACAAACACACTATAAAATATTAATGAATGAGGTCAGTCGCGCATAGTGTCAAATTACTAAAATGCTGACGCGGGAGAATGCACGGTGTTGCACCGTACAATTATTGTAAGCTATAATTGAAAAAAAAATAGTCCTGCTGGGTTTCTTGCTGGTTCTTTCCAGGACAGAGGTTTTTTTTGCGAACCAGTGGTAAATGAATAAAGTGACTTTCAATAAGTATTGTTATAATCTACATTGAATAAAAAAATTTGTGTTTCTGTTTCTGATTCTTTTAAGAACAAGATTTTGTATTATTATATTTTATTTTTGTTACTTATACTTATAGATAAGTATTGTATTTAAGGCAGAAACTATAAGATGTTCAATTATTACTATACGAGGATATTAATTAGTATTTGAAAACAAATATTTATGGCTGTGACAATGCCTTGAAAATTAAAATATCTCATTAAAGTCTGGTTATTATGTTAGTAGTGACAAAAATATATTCATTAACCTGTAAGCTCTGACAGCGCGCGACATGTTATAATCCCGTTCGCTCGGGACCGTAATGGCGGCAAAATTTGAAAATTAGCAAATTTTTTGCTATATTGCAAATTTTGCTATATTTTCACTTTGAGACAATATTTATGGATAAAACTTACAGGAATTCTTGTTGAATGTATAAACTATCGAATAAAATTATTTTTGGTTGCTAGAAATTGTAATAAAATACGTAAATTACCCTGTATAGCTGTATAGTGGTATATACTTCAATTTTAGTGACAAAATTACTACTAATTTGAATTCTACACTTTTGTTTTTAGAGAAATTTATATGAAAATGTTTGGAAATATGTATATTTTTATGTTTTATGTGTTTCCATTCGTTACTCATACCAAAATATTAAAATATAAAGAAATTAAAAAAAAATTAAATAATCATATTTTATCTGTGTGACATTTAGAACAATATTTCTAAAATAGTTTTGTGTGAATTTGAAATAAATACAACGTCAAGTTATTTGAAATATGTAAGAAAACTATTTTTACTTACATTTTACACTAAAAATAAATGAGAATGTGAAAAATACCACATTTATGACCCAGCCGCCATAATGGGCCTTCCAGATTTTGAAGCACTTTTGGCAATTTACTTTTCACTTTTTATACCACAAATTACATATCTACGTGTTTACTATATTACAAGGAATATAAAAAAAGTATAACATTTTCGTTTTTAGTCCAGACACAAATATAAAATTCTATAAAAAAAGACGGAGCACCTTCATCAAAGTGACACGTGGAACGCCGGAAGTTCAGAGTGATTTCTTTTTTTTTTTCTAAGAAACATTGCCAGGTTATGGTTTAAAATAAAAGAGCATATCTTTGTCTTTGATACTAATATCTATTTCATAGTGTCTTTGGTTTTGTTTAAAACGAAAAAATAGTTTTTTCATAGGTAGACATGTTTACATAATTCTTATCTAATTCGATCACTACTTCTTTTGTGTATATTTTACGTATTGCGCGATCGAAGGTGAGCTAGGCTTGGTTAACTTTGTGTTTATAACACTTGGTTACGGTTGTGACAAAACCATAAAGATCATAACACTACGTGAGGTGTATTTTAGGTGAGTTTGTGTTCAGGTTTTTAATAGTTGATTTTTGATGTTTGTTTTATTTTACTCTTTATTATGGTTGTAACAATACTCTGAAACCCTAATGATCTCATCAAAGTGTAGATTTTAAGTATCACAAAACTTTTTTGAAGCGGAATTTAAGTTTTATGTTCTCGTTTTTTATAACTCTATCAAATACATTTTATGAACCCATTCATAATTTTAAACATGTAACTTTTGACTGTTGTTGTAAACTTTAAAATTTTTGCAAATATTAAGTACACTTTATAATTTTATAACCGCTGCTCAGTGACCGAAACTCAGACCGGGTTAGCTTGTTAAGTTTGAATTTTTTAAATAAATATTGATTAAAATAAATAGACCTTCATTACGAAATAATTACTTGATAGGTAAAATGGAAATAATTTCATCATTGCAACCTTATTTCATTCATAAAAAAGTGACATTTTTGTAGAAGCGTCGAAATTTTTAAATTTTTGATGGCAAAATTGATATGAATAAATTAAAAATATATAACATAATATTTGTGTGCTAAGTATAAAAGTCACATATGGCTTGTTGCGCCTTTTTTTCTCAGTTGGAAGTAATTCGTATAATTTTTGTGCTAAAATAAAACGCCTTTTTAGGATTTTTTATAAAAATAAATAAAATTAAAAAATCCAATACATGAGTATAATAAAAAAGTGTACAAAATATTATCATACATTAACATTATGACAAAAAATATTTACTACACAGCAGGCTTTTTCCTGTTTTGTCATTACAAGATTTTTTCCTCGAAATTTATTTTTTGTTGGATGCGTCCTTTTAACGGGGGCAGAATTGTTTGCCTAATTGTATTAAAAATGACGTATTCTAAATTGCATGTAAAGACTTGTCATAGGGATAAGTAAACTTATAAAATAAAAGTTAGGAATGTCGTAACGTTTTAATGATCCGTTTGCTTACCGCAAGAACACACGAATTAAGCAGAAGGCATTCGTTTGGGATTATTTATTTCAATTTTCGAGACAGTTCCGTGTTGACGTGCGCTTGAGCGACAGTTCAGTTGTTTTGTGCATTAAATTCTTATTGTTATTACTTTTGTTGTTACGTTTTATGTTTCTTGTTTTATTTTAATAATGCCCAAACCGTAAGTTTATAGTGCCCGTATATACGGCAACATATTAATGCACCTTGTAGAAGCTCACGGGAATGTTTCGCGTGCAATTTGAATTTAACGAGAGAAGTTCCCGGCTGCTGACTTTCATCTGATAACAGCAGCAATTCAGCGAATGTTGGAAATCGGCCTATTGCTCCGCTAGCGGTAAGAGGTGGATTTCAAATGGATGTTCACTCCTAGGAGCGCATTTTAGATGTCGTTAGCCGGAATCCGAACCTAGATACACGAATTATTATTAAATTTTAAGGCACCGGGATGGAACAAGTGTGTCATACTCAAGTTCACAGGATGTTAAAAAAAGCTTAAAGTGCAAGCTTTAGTTCCTGGCGATCACGACTGCCGGCGAGTTTTTTGCCGTTGGTTATTAGACCAGTACAGTTTGAGCCGCATCTTACAAGTTCGCGGAGAATTTAGATCGGTAAGCCGTTTCATACCTATTTTAATAACTTACTACTGAACTGATCTGAATAGGTATATAACTGAATACATCAGAATAATAAATATACCTACACGATGGAGAAGATAGATGGGTGCTACCATCTGCATGGAATCCTACAAGTAACAAATTTAAGTCCAAGCCCAAGCATTCTTCGTAGATCGGACCAAAAATTAATAATATTCAAAAACTGAAGGTAGCCGGGCTAACTATGACATTGGGACGTCAAACATCTCAGTCCTCCCCGTGACCATTGGTGCTGTAAAGCAACCCAAACGTGGGGAATTAAAAATAAGTTAAAACAGTTAATTAAACGCGATAAAATCCGTAAATATAATTTTATTCAATGTGTAGTGATCGCGTAAATTTAAGATATCAAAATATTTTTTTATCTATCATCCATAACTCCATCGCAGGTGAGCACGTGGTAAAATAAACAACAATTAACAATTTCAATTGACGTTTTCGGCAATTTTAGGAACCGTTTTATTTTCACAAACTTTACTTATAATGATAAAAACACATACAATATATGCAAATTTACCTTATCAGACATATTGTGCAATATTGTTAAACACTGATCATTCTTCTTCTTTAAAGTAGACCAACTGTAGATAAAGTTATTGCGCAACCAGAACTTTTGAATCCTTTCTGTTATATTGTTTAAGATCTGCTCCATCGATTGCTCGTATTGGCTATTAAGAACGCTAAATTTGCTCAAATCTACTCCCATGGTAGTCACTGTAACAAATTTTTTAAAGTTGTTGGAGTTTTGCAACATGAAACGAAAAATTCTTCACTTAATATATATATATATATATATATATACATATTTTTTTTTTAATTTTTAATGCCCTAAGAGGAGAATGTTTCTAATAACAAATATAATTAAAATGTTTATCACCTTTTAAGCAAGGAGATGCTTGTGTTAGGTGATCACTGACCATTATACAGAGTATCAGAGTAAAGGGATGATGTGTGTGTGTGTGTGTGTGTGTGTGTGTGTGTGTGTGTGTGTGTGTGTGTGTGTGCGCGTATGTATGTGCGTGTGTGTGTGCGCGTATGTATGTGCGTGCGTACGTACGTACGTGCGTGTGTGTGTGTGTGACAATATAAGCCAGGCACTGCTTTTTAAATAGAAACTTAAAAAGGCAGCGGTTGGCAACACGACTACCAAGCGTAGTATTTACGGTAAATATCTCACTTAACACTAGAGTGCACGCGCCCTTAAATACTCCTTGAGCGCACGCGCGGGCTACATGTGTAGACCAGTTGCGGATCAATTATTTCTCTGAATAAGACAAAACAATGAGTAAAACACAGCATATAGTTACTAAACATCTTTATTTTTATCAAATTGGTTTATAAAATCAACAAAATTTTGATTCCTTAATATAATTTGAAACTTAAACGTAAACCTCTTAGAAATCAACAAATATTTGGAAGGGTTTATATCTCTAAGCCTTATTTTCATCTAAGAACATAATATTTATCATTTAAGGCATTTATTTGGCCTAAATGAGTCTATAATCGAAGTAACGGGTAAAAAATTCGTCTATTGGCTTACATTCAGGACACACAACAGCCTGATGTTCTTCACAAATACGCCTCATACATTTGCTGCATTGCTAGCGTGTGCTACGGTCACGAGCCCTGCTGTAAAAAGCACATCGATCCAAAGGCATATTTTGTTGTAGGGGTTGTTCTGCCAATCTTATATGTAGTCTGCCTTTCAGTTTAATACCTCTGGGTATATTTTGTTGGGATATACGACGCTCAATAGAAGGTCGTGCAAGATCAAATTCAACATCCAGGAGGTACTGACGACGGATCAATTCCATTTGATGGTTGTTCATCTGATATATCACCAAACTATTTATGCCCGCCATGTTTAAAAAATTGTATAATATAGTGAGAGGCCATCGGTTACTGTTGCGAGAAACTTCTTATTGTCACTTTATCAAAAATATCAACGCCGTATTTACGTGATTATAAAATGTGATGATTTCAGGTTTTCTAGCATCGCTAGTCGCAGCATCAATTTTGTCATCATTGTAGAGGGTAGACAATAACAATACCCGCTCCAAATGTCGTCGTATTCATTATCCTCCAGCAGCCATCTTTGTATTTAGTCGCACAATCTGATCGAGTTACTCGTCACCTAAAAAGTGAACAAAACAGTATAAAGCTACATGAAAAATCTACAAATACCAACAACAAACACTTAAAAATTAATTAACTGTACATTTTGAAGTAATACTGCAAGAAATGTGTCATATTTACCTAAATTTCACCACTTGCAAACTAAACACTTATTTTCCTCCAACGCTCGCGCGGGCTACAGGCGTAGCCCACCAAATTCAAGGACGATTTTTGCGGACATCTTTGAGACACGGGAGTCGGCACGCTGCTGGCGGTAGCGGGGGGTAATACTTGAGGAATAGACCTAGACGATTGCGCTATAGTGCGGCAAGTTAAAATGATATACGACAATATTACACGCTTGGTTACATATGTAGCCCGCGCGTGCACTCTAGTGTTAAGAGGCAATCTATTGCCTACGTTGTGAAAATTATCACACGCGAGCACACAATAATCCAAGCGGAGTTTTATTGGAAATTAGAGCCAAAAGACAATTACATCTTTATCAGTCATTCTATTGCTTAGAAATGAAAAATGGGCCTCTCGTATTGTAGGACTGATTTGTAATTTGTAATTGCCAGGCTTTTCCGGTAGATTGACGATCAATCGAGGCTATTTCTCATACATTTCATGTTTATCTAGACCAGCATGAAAGGAATGCAATATCCAAGATAAATTCCAAATATCCAGATATTCAATTCAGTTATATACGACATACATTACCGTCATATATATTGCGATAAATTATAAATAAAAATATACTTACAACAAATAGTTTCCAGGGCATTACGTCGCATGTAAACTAAATGGTCAAATGGACCCTTTCCTACCTGTAGTGATCACAATTAAAACATTATAAATTTTAAATAGGAAAAATAAAAAGTAAATAAGTCATTCCATTGATCAATGTAGAAAAATTTGCAGAAATAAATTAAACACTTTAGTTAATAGCTTAAGGTGGAAAACATAAAATTGTAGAAAATTTGACTCATCTACCAAAAAAAGTAATTTTGTACAAGACATTCTTAAAACGTGTCACTCTACTGGAAATAATAATAATTAATAGAGATTTGTTAGTAGTAGTTCATTATGAGCTAAAAATAAGAAAATTCACTTCAAATATGATACAGGTGAAAAAGTAAAAATGTATTTTTTTATAGAAGTGGGGGCAAGCGAGCATGCATCCTCACTTGATGGTAAGTGACTACGGCCGCCTGTGAACAACCGCAACAACAGAATAATTGCAGGTGCGTTGCCGGCATTTTAGAAAGGAGTAAGCTCTTTTTTGAAGGTCCCAAGTCCTATCGGTCCGAAAAATTTCGCAGCGAAGTTGCACGAGGAAATAAACTCCTAGTAAAACGCACATCGGTGTACCCCCAAGCACTCAGATGGTGAGGATGGTATCGTGAATTTTGACGCGATATGCGAACTTAAAATTTGGCGGCTGGAATTAATCGGAACAATTCCTCAGAACACACCCCATGGCAAATACGATAGAAAACGCAAATAGATGCAACATCCTTACGTTGCGTCAGTGAATCGAGCCGATCAGAATGAACTCGGTCGTCGGCGATTCGAATGCGGAGTATGCGGGCGCTGGATGCGGTCAAGTGGAAAGAGCTGGCACTAGGGTACTCCGGCCCAGAGATGAGAACAGTATTCCATGTGAGGCCAAACTTGCGCTTTGTAAAGTTGCAAGCGATGTGCTGGCATGAAATACTGTCTCGCTCTGCTGCGCACGCCAAGCTTTTTAAAGGCCAATTTGGCCTTCCCCTCCATGTGACCACGAAACTGTACACTATTCGATATGTTGACGCTCAGGATTCTGATTCTAGCTGAGACAGCAAGGGAAGCGCTTTCAATCTGAGGAGATACGACAAAGGCGATCTTTTTAACGGTTAACGCGCAAATTTGTAACTTCTGGGGATTGAATTGGACGATATTTAGTCTCCTCCAATTCAAAACTTTGTTAAGCAAACACTCAAATTCAGACACAAGTTTGTCCCTATACTCGGCGACGATTTCCCGAGAAATAATGTCACGACCGGTGTACAAGTCATCACCAGTGATGTCTTCATAGCAATGAATGTTACCAGTTTGCAACATATCATCGTTATGCAGAAGAAACAGCGTTGGTGATAGCACACAGCCTTGTGAAACACCAGCGTTAATAGGTTTGTAATCAGAGCATGCACCATCTACTGCGACCTTGATTCTCTGATTAGCAAGAAAATTGTCGATCCAATCGCACAATTTCTCGGGAAGCCCATAGGATGGGAGCTTTGACATAAACGCTGTGTGCCAGATCCAATCGAAGGCCTTCTACCTTCTGGGACTCTACTGCCTTCGCCCATCTACGAGTAAAGTAGACCAGAAGATCACCATCTGATCGACCACGACGGAAACCGTATTGGCGGTCACTGATCAGCTGGTGATCCTCAAAGTTCCTCATGAGCTGGCAGCTTACAATCGACTGCATTATTTTAGAGAACAAGGAGGTAATGGCGATAGGCCTGTAGTTTGACGGGTGTGAGCGGTCGCCTTTTTTTTAGGGATCGGGTGGACCAAAGCTGTCTTGGGACTATGCCTTGAGAGTAGGAGTACCGGAAAAGACGCGTTTAAACCAGTGTTAACTCTGGAGCACACGTCTTTAGCACAATGGTAGGAACTCCATCAGGCTCATTACACTTGCTGATGTCCAGCCAGAGTAGTGCTTTACGAACTGAGCCATATGTTAACTGCACATCCGGCATGGAGCACTCACACCGCGGGATGGTGGGCGATGTGTTCGCCTCGTCATCGTTAGTCGAGTTGGACGCAAAGAGAGAGCCTAAGAGATCGGCTTTCTCCTTTGCGGTATGGGGCAGCAAGATGTTCTCTCTGTATAGAGATGGAAGGGATGACTGACAGAAGTTCCTTTAGACAGCCTTGGCGAGAAACCAGAATTCACGGGTTCAGAAATCACGGGCGAACTAGCTTCTCGCCATTTTTGTCGATGAATTGGTCTGAAAAGTTGTCGATTATGATATTTGGTGTCGGTTACGGTCTGATACAGCAATAATTTTAATAAGTAATATTAAGAAGTGGTAATGCACCTATTTTTAAATAATTTAAAAGGAGAAACTAACTGATCTCACGTACGCAATGCATGCGATTCAACGCTCCTACGTTGGCGTATACTTTGCCTACGTATGAAACGTTCGTTTAGCGTCAGACACTCTTGTCACTTCTTAGCAAACTTACGAGTACAGATGAATAACATGTTTTCTGATTTTGAGAGATGGTTTGAGAATGATTAACTGAGTCTGATTTTAATAAACCAACATATCCACGCCAAAAAATTTTTAAGGTAGCAGTCTGTTAAAATTTGTTAAAAAAGTTGATTTATAATGGTAGCGCTGAAAACGAACACCCTTGCATTTTGTTTCGTTAGTTAAAATTAGCCAGTATAACCTCATGGGAGGGGCGCTACATTGGTGGCCTCATTTTGTTTGTCCAATGGGAGACGCACTCACCGAAAGTGATAGGCGGAAGCACGCCGCCGGCCCAGACCGGCAGTTATCGTCTTGTGACCAGTTGCAGCGCAATCTT